CATTTGTGATTCTGGTCAGATGTCTAGGCATGTGTGAGGAAGCTGGGATCCTGACCTTCAGGACAAAATGAGAACAGCTTAAACAATCAGGGAGTACTTTCTGGGATGTATCCAATTTTTCTACATACACACCAGCTGGAGTGGAGTGGGGAAAGAATGGCATTAAGGAGGTAGGTTGACACAGAAGCTTGATGCTCATAAATAGAGAGAAAACAAACTTCCCCTAAATCTGTATTCATCTCTATCTTTGCAGCCAGTACTACGTGGACTTCTGTTATTTATACTTGCATTCCCTCAATTCCCTGGCACAGCTATTAACATGGACTGGCTAGGAGGATTCCTCCTCCTCAAACTGAAAGGTCTGAGGTTTCTATCAAATAGCAGGTGTAAGGCACGGACGGGTAAGCTTCTGGCCACAAAACAGAGGAATACCACAGCAGAAGTTCCTTGCTACCAATAATTGTTGTACCTTGATCTCAAGTTTTAGTGTTTTTTAATAGGATTCTATCACTTACACCGTAATCTTGCAGTATTTACAGATATAGGATGGTTTGGAAGGGTTTAGGAAATTGGGTGGGGCAAATGCAAAGCTATGGCTGCCTGGGGTTAAAAATCACATATTGTTCAGAGATGGCAAAGACAAGATGGTGGCTATTCTGGAGTGATAGACACTAAGGGGATATATCACAAAGTAGTGGTAGCCAGTGACGGGTACCCAAGCAATCCTCTTCTAAATCAAGTTCCTTGGGCGGCACCTGTGGCTCAGTGAGCAGGGCGCCAGCCCCATATACCAAGGATGGCAGGTTTGAACCCGCCCCAGCCAAACTGCAACAAAACAATAGCTGGGCATTGTGGCAGGGGCCTGTAGTCCCAGCTACTAGGGAGGCTGAGACAAGAGAATTGCCTAAGCCCAAGAGCTGGAGGTTGCTGTGAGCTGTGACGTCACAGTGCTCTATTGAGGGTGACAAAATGAGACTGTCTCTAAAAAAATAAAATACTATAGAATAAAATAAATAAAACAAGTTCCTTGAGGGACAGGAACTATATCTTATTCATGACTGTGCTTCTTTTTTTTTTTTTTCCAGTTTTTGGCAAGGGCTGGGTTTGAACCTTCCACCTCTGGCATATGGGGCTGGTGCCCTACTCCTTTGAGCCACAGGCACCACCCATGACTGTGCTTCTTATGTACAGAATCCTGGCACAAAATCAGGACTCAAGAAATATTTGACAAAATGAAGCACTGACACATACTGTAACCTGGATGAGTCTTGAAAACATTATGCCACGTGACAGAAACCAGTAACAAAGACACACATACTATTCAATTCTTAAAATGCCCAGTGGATAAATCTATAGAGACAAAGTGGTTAGTGGTTGCCTAGTGCTGGGAAGGTTGAGGGAATTGGAGAGTAATGGCTAAGGGGTATAGGATTTCTTTTTAGAGTAAAGAAAATGTTCTAAAATTGATTGTGGTAATGGATACCCAACTCTGGAAATATATTAAAACCCACTGAATTTTATATTTTAAAGTGGTGAGGTATATGGTATATGAATTATACCCCCAAAAAGCCATTAAAAAAGAAAAATTTGATGAATAAGGAAATGAACAAATTAATTTAGTATACAGTTGCTGACTCTTGTTCTTGGAGTTACATAGAACTATGGGCTATTATAACCATGTAGAATGCCAGATAAGGAACATCCATTCACATACTCACTCAGATATTCATTCATTCAGCAGACATTTATGGAGTATCTAGCATGTATCTATGTACTCTGCTAAGTGACAGTGACTCAGTAGAAAACAAGATTGGCATAGATCGTACCTCCCCTTCTGGGGCATACACACTCACACTTACGGTTCCTTTCCTTTTTTTAATTTTTTATTTAAAATATCTTAGTCCTTTATTTGAATAGATTTCAACTCAGTTGACAGGCTGATGGCTGATCTAGGTAAAGATTTCATGGGGCAAAAACACTTCCCATCTATAATATCGAACAGATTCCTGATAAACATGGGTGTGAATGTCCTTAGGGTTTTTGTCCCATCTTCTTTAGGGTTCGATTAAGCTCCTCAAATTTGTGGATTTGGCGGATAAAGAAATCCCCATAGCGTCTGGCAACTTTGGTGTCTGCAATGTGGATCATGTCCTTATCAATGTAGAAGTCAACTTCGGAGGCTGACTGAAACTCGCCGTCTAGGGCAGAGATACCGCTGGTCCACACCAAGTTCTTCATCTTGTGTTTGAAGACAAGAAGCTGGATCCGGAACTCCTGCTCCGTGAGGTCTAGGAAGCCAGCTAGTTTGGCCACTGGTATGGTGGTGTAGAGCTTGAGGAAGCTGTGGATAGTTGAGAGCTGGGCCTGCTGCTGCACTTCATCAGCAAACACCTTCAGCTGCTGCAGGAAGGGCTCTTTGTGGTAGTTTGGATGCACGTTGTCATAGTTGGGCGCTACAGGCAACAGGAACTTGGGGCAGGAGTAGCTGAAAAGTTTCTCATAAACCTGTGGGTCACCTTTCTGCATGCGTAGCATCTTGTCCCCATACTTCTTCCGCAGCTGGAGGTGAATGCTCTCATTGATACGCATTGGGTACATAGTGAGGGTGATGGCCAGCAGTGCGTGCATCTGCTCATTCTGCTTATTAATCATCTCATACTTATACGTGGTCCTCTGGAACATACTCTTGGTCCTTTGGATGTAGAGGAGGATGTCGGCAAAGACCCGAATGGCATCCTGGTAGCGACGCATCATCAAATATGCAAAACCGACGTAATGGTATGTGGTATCTTGGCACTCTGGTACACGGGAATACATGCTCTTCTTGTTCAGTTCAATGTTCTCCAACACTTTGATGGCTTGGTAGTAATCCTCCAATAAGGAGTGCAGGCGCAGAAGCCCCACCAGGCTGAAGTAACCAAGCATCTTGTAGAGGGAGTGCCGTCCATACTCCCCAGCCACACTCTCAGGGTCACCTTTGTTTGTGTATACTTCCAACTGCCAGTTGATGTTGGATTTGTCTACTAAGGAATGGAGGACATTGAGGACACTGTGAACATTCCAGATTTTGGGATTGGAACGAAGGAAGTCAATCTCCTCCTCTGAATTCTTGGCAGTCTTACAGCGGTACTGACTAAATGACTGAAACTGGTAGATGAACTCATCAATGATATCCCAGAGCCACCGATTGGGTAGTTCAAGGGGAGCAGGACCGTCAGCATTAAGAATCTAGTTGAAGAGATTGCAGTAGTTGTAGTAAGATTCAAACCTCTGCTCCAAGGAGGGCCCCCCACTGACTTTGGCATATATGTGCCTGTAGTATAATTCTTTGTATAAAATCAAGAAGACAGCATCACTGCCAACCTGTGGAGCAATGGCTTCAGCCTCAGGCCAAGGTGTATTCTTGAAGAATCTTTCAGTCAGCTGTTCTCATAGATGTCCTGGATCTCATATACCTTCTGGTCAATGGCATCACTGGAGACACGACTGGCCTGTAGCTCATACACTTTCTGATAAATCAAATCCGAGACAGTTTTGTGGAAATACTGAATGAAGTTTTTGATCACTTCAGGGATCACCTGATAGGTCTGCTGTTCATATTGACGTTCATAAGCAAGGTCCTGCTTGGGATCTCCTGTGTGCATATCATAGTCGCCTGGGTAGGCATATGGGTCATAAGCCGTCTCAGACTCACAGTTATCAGCTTGATAGGACATGGCTGCGGCGCTAGGGAACACCACCAGAAAGAGCGAGAAGAGCGGCCCGCCCTACGTCAGGAGGCCGGAAGTTCACCCTCTCCTTTTTTTTTTTTTTTTATAAGTTCTCAGTGTTTAGGAATACTGAGTATTTTCCCAAAAATATTTGGTGCTGAATCTTCCTTAAAAGATCTGATCCCAAAGTGAAACTATCATGGAAATTTGAAGCTAACTCCACTTGGCTGCTTTTAAATTATAAGAGATCATTTCCCATGCTTTTTTCTGCTAAGAAAAAAAATCCATGGCTTTGCGCCTGTAGCTCAGTGAGCAGAGCACCGGCCACATAGACTGAAGCTGGTCGGTTCAAGCCCTGCCTGGGTCTGCTAAACAACAATGACAACTGCAACCAAAAAATAGCTGGGCATTGTGGCAGGCACCTATGGTCCCAGCCAGTTGGGGGGCTAAGGCAAGAGAATCACTTGAGCCCAAGAGTTTGAGGTTGTTGCGAGCCTATGACGCTACAGCCCTCTATTGGGGGCAACAAAGTGAGACTGTCACCAAAAAAAAAGTTAACAGTTTTTATAAAGTTTAAGTGAGATGATTAAGGTAAATGAATTTAAATGGAACAGTGAAGTTAAATGTAATCAATATGATTTAGGGAAGCTGGGCATTTTTCAGAAAACAAGATTTGTCTTATACTTCCATTTACAACCTAGCTAAGTTATAAAGTGCTAAATAAGTAAAAGTTAATTGAAGCGTAGTCCAACTACCTCATGTGGTTAAAATATGTGAATGACAGTGAAACCAAACACAGAAATTAGAAGCTTCTAATTATTTCTGCCAAGTCCTGGTTCTGGACTAATCTAATCTTGAAAATGTCTTTTCAGCATAAATACTACAATTTGCCCTTCCCTCAATTGGGACTTTATCACCTTCATGCCCTTCCGGTCCCCAACCTCAACCCTCTTCCTTTCAAGTCACTGCCAACTCTTGCCCCCTCTATTCTCAGAATATCTTCTAGAGGGTGTGTGTGTGTGTGTCTGAGTACTTTGTTTTTTGTTTTTGTTTTTATGCCTCTTCATCTCACTACCCTCCAACTCTATCTCCAGACCCTGAGGCTCCCCACAGAAACCACAAAGGATCACTTGGCTTCCCTTTGGAAAAGTAGCAATCCCAAATAGTCCCCTTTCCAAATGCCAGTATCTTTTCTAATGGGTTTTTTCTTCATTTTTATACATTTCAAGTTTTCCAAGAAGCAGTGGCCAACAGAGAGCTGAGTTGGTTTTAAAAGTCTAGGAGACATACCTGGCTGCTTTCTGAGTAAGCTCCAGTGGGAAATCGGGGCACAGTAATTGCAGCAAACAGTGATATTCTTTCATGGTCAGCAGATCTGAAATGGAAACGGAAAGGAACATGTTAGGTCTTTGCATTTCAGGTTACTGTTCTCTTTTTGGTCATTTCACGAGTTTCAGGCCTAGTCTTGGTAGAACTGCTCTTTTAAAGCTGAGTTCTCAACCACTGCTACTTTCATTGCTAGTAGCAACGAAAATAATTTTATGGTTGGGGGTCACCACAATATGAGGAACTGTATTAAAGGGTCACGACATTATAGGAAGGTTGAGAACCACTGTTAGTGGTGTACTAGCCACTAAACTCTATGGGTAAGATTTTAAGATCAATATTTTTACAAACCTTTTTAATATTTTTACAAGCCCTGGGTGGGAGGCACCCAGTTACATTTTTTCTTTTTTTGAGACAGAGTCTGGCTCTGTCACCTGAGCTAGAGTGCTATGGCATTAGCCTAACTCACAGCAACCCCAAACCCTTGGGTTCAAGTGATCCTTCTGCCTCAGCCTCCTGAGTATCTGAAACTATGGGTATTTGCCACAATGCCCAGCTAATTTTTCCATTTTTAATAGAGATGAGGGTCTCACCCTTGCTCAGGCTTGTCTTGAACTCCTAAGCTCAAGAAAACCTCCTGCCTGGGCCTCCCAGAATGCTAGGAATACAGGTGTGAGCCACCACTCTTGGCTATACTCAGTTACATTTTGACCAAAGGCGCTTCACTAGTTTGAAAATGGTCCAGTGAAGGGAGAAAAGAAGGGAGGAACCTTTATCAGCTCTCTCAGTTTGGTTTTCCTTATATATAAAAATCTGGAAGAACTGGTCATTTCAAAGCTGGATAAAATCTGCTAAATTCTCTGGCATGGTAATATTCACTACCACATGCCCAAAGCCCATCCATAGAATACCTGGGAGCAGTGCTAAGGCAAGCAGTCCTGCAGTGTAGGGAGAGGAAGAGTACATCATGGAAACCCACAGACTTATCACTCTGTTATCCAGCGTTGCAGTAGGCTGGTTACTTTTGGATGCTTGAACACAACTCTGGTCATCCTAATACAGGAAGCCAAGACAAAGGTCCAAAATAATACCATCAAGGCAATCAAGGCAAATGATTCCTGATAAACAGAAGCAATGCTTTGGGAGAGATAATAGGACGAGGCTTTGTGGTATAGCAGAAAACCCAGACAGACAAATCTCAGAGAGGTTTATAGTATACCAAAGGAAAAGGCATGCACTGATGTTGAAAAGCTGTTCTGTTACTACATGTACTAAAGCCAAAAAATTTTAGATCAGCCAAACACCAGTAATCTGCAAGTATTACCCTATATCAAGTATTTCAAATATGGAAAGACATGGTAATGCTAAAACAGGAGCAATCTACTCTGAAGCCAAAGTGACTGGGAGGAGGATGGGCAAGAAGAGAAAATCCAGAGGACATGGCAACATTTGGGGAATGAAGATGATGATCACAGGCACTTGGTTTCTTGGACCCAACTTACCCCAAGCCACAGGAATCCAGATCTCCTGCCCCTGTTAGTTTGGTTGATGCTTTTCCAAGACAAACCCCCTAAACCTCTAGGGATAGGCCTGGGTTCCTACTGCTTTTTCATCAAAGCTCAATTCAAGGTGGGGGCAGAGAGTTAGACTAACCACACTGCGAAAGTCAGGGACACCAAAGGAACAGACTCAGCGTCAATGTAGGTCAAAGGATCAATATGGCTTTTGTGGCCTTCTTCTTTGCCACAATGGGGTGTGCACTTTCCTCTCCTCACTTGCCTGACCTCGGGCACAGCCTGGCAGGAGGTCTTGTTCTTCAAGGGAGGGAGTAATAGCCACTCATGATCTCACAGACTTGGGGTGAGGAATAGGATAAGCAAAGGGAAGGGAGAAAAGCCACTGAATCTAATATGCTCCCACTTTATTCTCATTCCAGAATTCCCCATGGAGAGAGAGGAGTGATTTCTGGCAAGCAGTAAAGAAAGTTGTATCCTTGCATCAGTGCTCCTCCAGGCTATACTGTGGTAGACGTATCTGACAGCACTCTTGGTGGAAGTCAAAGTGTTTCAAAGGAATTTACATTTATTCCCCAAATTACCTACAAAATTAGGTTTATCTTCCTTGGGAATATAAACATGGCAAAGAAAAATGAGAAATCTAGAGAGAGAAAGAAAGTTATTTAAGAAAGACACAAGCTGATCGAGGTGGCTCACGCCTATAATCCTAGCACTCCGGAAGGCTGAGGTAGGTGGGTGGACTGTCCTCACAGGTTGGAGACCAGCCTGAGCAAGACCGAGACCCCATCTTTTTTTTTTTTTTTTCGAGACAGAGACTTATTGTGTTGTCCTCGGTAGAGTGCTGTGTCATCATAGCTCACAGCAACCTCAAACTCTTGGGCTTAAGCAATTCTCTTGCCTCAGCCTCCCAAGTAGCTGGAACTACAGGCACCCGCTACAACCCCCAGCTATTTTTTGTTGCAGTTGTCATTGTTGTTTAGCTGGCCCGGGCTGGGTTTGAACCCACCACCCTTGGTGCATGTGGCCAGCTCCGTAACCACTGAGCTATAGACGCCGAGCCAAGACCCCATCTTTAAAAATAGCTGAGAGTTGTGGCTGGAGCCTGTAGTTCTAGTTACTTTGGCGGTTGAGGCAAGAGAATTACTTGAGCCCAAGAGTTTGAGGTTACTGTGAGCTATGATGCTTTAGGTTATTCTAACTCATGTGCTTCAAATAGTTGTTTCCCAAGGACAGAAGAATGTTTTACAAAAATCCCTTTATACTTCTCTAATGTAATAAAAGGCTCTTAAAAATACTAAAAACAGACAGGCTGTTTTCTTTGCCATATTTATATTCCCATGAGTTCAAGACCATCCTTAGCCAGAGTGACACCCGTCTCTAAAAAATAGCTGGGCATTGTGATGGGTGCCTGTAGTCCCAACTACTTGGGAAGCTGAGGCAAGATGATTACTTGAGCCTAAGAGTTAGAGGTTGCTGTGAGCTATGACATTACAGCACTCTACCATTGGTGACAAAGTGAGATTCTGTCTCCAAAAAAAAAACCCCCAAAAATACTAAAACCAGAATACATCCTGCTCACAATTCTGGAACTCCACTATCTTAAATGTTAAGTGAGGCAGGTAGTCAGATAAAGAGATTAATAAAAATACAAGCAGATAAGCAACTTGTTTTTGGAGACAGAGTCTCACTTTGTCACCCTTGGTAGAGTGCTGTGGTCTTACAGCTCACAGCAACTTCAAATTCTTGGGTCCAAGTGATTCTCTTGTCTCAGTCTCCCAAGCAGCTAGGTCTATAGGTGCCCATCACAACACCAGCTATTGTTAGGGACAGGGTCTCACTCTGGCTCAGGTTGGTCTCGAACTCATGAGCTCAATCTACCCACCTTGGCCTCCCAGAGTGCTACGATTACAGGCGTGAGCCACCATGCCCTGCCCAAATAAACAACTTTTAATTGTGGAAGAGAGTAGTTCTTTTTTTTTTTTTTTTTTTGAGATAGTCTCACTATGTCGCCCTTAGTAGACAGTAGAGTGCCATAGCATCATAGCTCACAGCAACCTCAAACTCGGGCTCAAGCAATTCTCTTGCCTTAGCCTCCTAACTAGCTGAGACTACAGGTACCCGCCATAATGCCAGGGTATTTTTTTGTTGTTGTTATTGTTGTCGTTGTTTAGCAGGTCCAGGCCAGGTTCAAACCCACATAGCCCTGGTGTATATGGCTGGCGCCCTAACCATTGAGCTATGGGCACCGAGCTGGAAGAGAGTAGTTCTAATACTACTAAAGTACTGACTAGATAATATTAAGGCTGCATGATTTCAAAGGAGAGGCACCTGCCACTTGGAAACATTCCTTGGTTGGTGTACAGTGAGCATATGGTAAGACTTGTTCCACAGTCAGAACACTGAAGAGCATCTGGGAGCTGTCCCCTTCTTGCTCCATAGAGTAGGGTTCAAATCTTGGCTCTGAAATTTAGCAGGTATGTAACCTGGGCAAACTGCTTAATCTCTTTAAATCTTAGTCTCTTGGCCGTAAAATGGAAATAATAATACCTACTTTTCAGGTTTGAAGTTAACTATAAAAGACATTAGCAGAATGTTTAGAACTTATAATACCAAACAATGGGAGCTGTTTGGTTTTATTTTTAAATCCTGGGAGAGGGGAGGGGTGGGGAGGGAGTGTCTATTTTTGGACATTCTTCTGCTGCTCATTCATTTAACATTGCCATGTGCCTCTTCTGTTCCAAACACAGTGTCACTATGAAGCTCTTGAGGCTTACACTTGGACATAAGTTAATCTTTTTTTTTTTTTCTTTTTTGAGACAGTTTCACTTTGTCGCTCTCAGTAGAGTGCTGTAATGTCACAGCTCACAGCAACCTTAAACTCCTGGGCTCAAATGATTCTCTTGCCTCAGCCTCCCGAGTAGCTGGGACTATAGTTGATTGCCACAGTGCCCAGCTATATTTTTAGAGATGGTGGCTAGGAGGGGTCACACTGTGGCTCAGGCTGGATTCGAGCTCAGGCAATCCACCCGCCTCAGCCTCCCAGAGTGCTGAGATTACAGGCGTAAGCCACTGTGCCTGGTTGTGCTCAGCTTTTGAAGGAGCTCTCTTAACCTTCACAGCAACCTTGTGAAGGAGACTCCAAGTCCTGTATCACAGATAAGCGCATATAAGTTTAGAGAGATGAAATAACCTGGTGAGCAAGGAGAGGAGGAGGGTCCAAAGCCCAAGGGCCAGGAAGGGAGCCTGTCTTCACACTGCAAGATCTCTGGCTGAGGGCTGAAGGGGCTTCATGATATAGCTAACGTTTATTGAGCACATATTATGGGCCAGGGACTGTTCCTGTAAGGAGTTTACATGTGTTACCACATCTAATAGTCGCTATTGTTATCCACAGTTCACAGACACAAAAACTAAGGTCAGGCACACTTAAGAGGTAGAACTGGCAGTCTGACTCCAAAGGTTACCCAGCTAATATGTTCAGCACTTTGATCTTATCAACCATAATATGTGAACGTTTAAGAGCTTGTTTTCC